ATAGATAAAAAATCGACTAATATCGGAAACAAAGTCGATAAATATCAATAACAAAATGGATAAATATCAAAAACAAAACCTATAAATATCGATAACAAAATCGATAAACATTGATAACAAAATCGATAAATACCGATGAAAAAGCGATAAATATCGAAAACAAAATCGATAACAAAATCTATAAATATCGATAACAAAATCGATAAATATCGATAACAAAATCGATAAATATCATTAAAAAACCAATTAATATCGATAACAAAATCGATAATTATCGATAAAAAAATCAATAAATATCTGTAACAAAATCGATAGTTATCGACAACCAAATCGATTAATATCGATCACAGAATCAATAAATATCGATAACAAAATCGATTAAAATATTGATAATAAAATCGATAAAAATATTGAAAAAAAATATCATTAACAAAATTGATAAAAATATCGATTACAAAATCGATAAAAATATCAATAACAAAATCGATAAAAATATCGATTATTATATCGATAAGTTCCGAAAATATCGATAAAGAAATCGATACAAATATCGGTAACAAAACCGATAAAAATATCGATTATTTTACCGATAAATCCCGAGAATCTCTAAAATTCCAAAAGAGTTCCCAGATTGAGTCTCTGTGTCTCTCTGTATATCTTTTCCTCTTTAATTACGTGTATTTTAATCTTTCTTCCCCTATCTTCATCTTTACTTTTAGCGGCATCCTCATCCTCCTCTTTGTCTTTACTTTCATCTACATATTCCCCTTCACCTTTGCCCTTATATATATAAGTAAAGTGTTTAAATCTACCTTGGTCTTCATTTTTGCCTTTATCTTCACGCATCTTTGTTTTTGTTTTTATTTTTACCTTTGCCTTTATCATTTTCTTTATCTCACTTTTACTTTCATTCTTGTATTGGTCTTTTTCTAAGTGTTATTCTTATACCTTTTATTAACAAATTTTTGTTAAATTAATACCATATGCATACACAGAAGAAGCACTTGTTTCAGCCCCAACCATTTCCGTCGCATCATTTCCGTTGCACCATTTCCGTGTGCAATTTCCGTTGAATTTTCCAATTTACTCCCAACCAACTAACCGCCGCTAAAGAAGTTTCACTTCAAAAATATGGGGGTCCACGAGTTGTAAGTGGGGATCCACCAAAATGTATCTGGTTTCGATAGTAAAGAACCAAAATGGTTGCTTGATAACCTCTTTATTTAACTTTAATTTGTATAGTGCTTTTGACGCACTGCTAAACTTACCTCGTTGCTGGCGACAGAGATTTGAGCACTTGTGTATTTTCAATGCTACAGGATAGTACGCCACCATTACCTTTGGTGAAGAGATTCTATAATGTTGAGTTTCCTGAGGCTGAATGCTAGTTTAATTCCAGTACTGAGCCCGGACTCTCACATTGTGGAATGTGCACTGATGGCTCCAAGACTGACTCTTGGTCAGGATCTGTAGTCCTTTTCGACGTTAATGGGGATAAACTTCCGTCTTTCAGGCAGAGGTATTTGCAATCATCAAAGCCTTGGACTACGTGTTATAAAATAGGTGGAGGAATTAACGTATCTGCAGTGACAGCCAAGCTGCACTTAAGGCATTGGCAATCCCTCTATTTAAGTACTTCCAAACTAGTTCGGCAATGCAAGTCTCGACTAAATTATGTTGGTAAACATAACGAGCTTGCTTTACTCTGGATGCCAGGTCACTCGGGATTAACAGGTTATGAGACATCTGATCATTTGGCCACAGTTGGTTTAGACCAGGCATTCCTCGATTCGCAACCAGTTACAGCACTCCCCACTTTGGCCATCGAGGCCACCATCAGAAACTGGGTGAATACTTCGCTCATCAACGACTGGGAGGCATCGAGGGTATGCAGGTGGGCAAAACTCATGCTGCCTTCAATCTAGAAAGGTCTGTCTGGAAAAATGTTAAAGTTATCCCCAAATATAATATAAAAAAATATAATTTCTAACCAATTTGTGGCTGATTTTACATGGTAAAATTTAAAAAACTATGAAAAATTTTAATTTTATCGACAATTTTTAGTAAGTAAACGACAGCCACATAAACCTTTCCAGTGCAAAATAAAATGAAATTTTCGAAGAATCTGAAGTTTGAAAGAAAATCGTATCATTTTAAATTCGTTTTCGGATCAGTTTACAGTCGCTTTTTTACCTTTTTTTATTTTTTACTTCGGTTAATAATTACATAAGTCTCTTCCAATACAAAACAGTAAAAAAACAAGTAAGAAAGTCTAAGTTCGGGCGGAGCCGAACATTAAATACCCGGCGCAAGTATTAAATATATGTTTTTTCACCCTTCCGAAACCTTCCGCTAGATGGTAAGCCGAGGTGTATCAATTTTGAGTAAATTAGCGTCCTTCAATTTCGAAATATTGAAGTTTCAAGCATTTCTGAAATTTACCGTTATATGAGAAGCGGCCGTTATTTTAGTCCGATTTCAATAATTTTCAACGTTTTGCTTACACGTGGCAAGTACAATAACCATACCGAGTTTGGTACAAATTGGTAGAACGGTTACCGATATACATATATGTGATCATAAGTGGGCGGTGCCACGCCCATTTTCCAAAATTTTACCATAATCGTATTTCTTGGTAAAGAATTGTTGCAAGCATCAATTTTGAATAAATTAGCTTCAATATTTACTGATTTATCGAAGATTTTGTATTTCTCTAAATTACCGTTATATGGGATGTGGGCGTGGTTATTGTCCGATTTTAAAAAGTTTCGGCGGTTTTTTATGCTGTGCCAAGGCCAACAACTGTGCCAAGTTTGGAAGAAATTGGTGCAGCGGTTACCAAGATATACACATGTAACCATAAGTGGGCGTGGCTACGCCCATTTTCCAAAAATTTATAATATTCTTATTTTTCGTCTAAAAATTATTGTAAATATCAATTTTGAGTGAATTATCTTCAGTAGTTACTAAAATATCGCAGTTTTCGTATTTCTGGAAATTACCGTTATATGGGAAGTGGGCGTGGTTAAAGTCCGATTTCGCCCATTTTCAATACCAACCTACCTTGGATTAAGGGAAACCTACATACCAAATTTCGTTGAGATATCTCAATTTTTGCTCGAGTTATCGTGTACACGGACAGACGGACAGACGGACAGACGGACAGACGGACGGACAGACAGACATGGCTTAATCGATTTCTTTTTTCATCCTGATCATTTATGTATACATTTGTCTATATCTATCTCGATTCGTTTTGGCTGTTACAAACAACCGTTATGTGAACAAAATTAATATACCCTTGTGCACAATTGCGCTCGGGTATAAAAACGATAACATAATATGGTTTTTGATAATGACGGCGGCTACAGCGTCAAATACCAACTCCAAAACGGGAGGGCTCGTTAAACCCATAGGAGATAATTCAAGTGTGCAACTGTATAACTCTTTTGCACATATTTTCATACATATGTATGTATTTATATACGAATTTAAAGAAAGCATATAGTTAAGGTGACTAAAAGGAACACTCGAACACTTCCAACGAAATGCAGAAATATCACCAACAGTCGTTCAATGGCCGATAGCTGACTATCGCCAAAGCAAAGTACATACTCAAACAATCAGATATATTTGTATTACTGTGGAAATGCAAGTGTGTCAACAGAGATAACTTTCATATGTGCAACCATTTTCAATGTTTATTACTCCGGCCAAGGTGTTTTACCTTTCAACGAAGTAGGTAGTAAATGAGCGGTTTCTGATCGCTCTTGTCGTAAAATTTTTTATTGAGAGACAGAGAGCAAGTTAACCAGCAGCCGACAATGAGGAAACAGTTGTACCGTAACCGAAAATGAGCAGCTCAAAAGCGAAAACAAACTTAATATAAAATAGGCCGTGCTGCCAACTATTTTCGAGTAAAAAATCCAGATTTTTATAAAACCCGCTAGAAAAAAGCTAAATCGCGCAAAACAAAAGCTGAAAATAAATAGGTTTATATGAATATAATTTTAAGCAATACATTTAAAACACTTGAAACTAAAACTATATAGAATAATACAGCTGGGATCCAAGTTCGTAAGAAATGAAAAATAAGACTAAGAGTTAATATAACTATATGTATATATGTACATAAGTGTATACCGCTGCGTAGCTTTGCTTTCACCAAGTTTAGATGCCTGAATAAAGTTCAAGGTCTGCATTAGACCAAGGTAGTGAAAGTAAATGATCGGAAAACAATTTGTTGCCACCTGTGTCCGTATAAGTTTGAACTTCAGCCCGAAATTGCATTGTATTACGTATTTATGCCATTTTACAAAATTAATTATATTAAACTGAATTATTATTTTTTTCTATAATATCCACAATAGTGTTCATTAAAAACGGCATAAAGGTCAATAAAATTGTTGAATATAATCTCATCACTGTAATTAAAACGTTTTACAACGTCTTCTATCTCCTCGTGCGATGCGCGAAAACATTGCCCACTGAACACCATTAACTTTTTTAATCGTATCGAAATTATCTGATAATTTTAAATACGTACATATGTACTATATCGTATAAAAGAAAAAGCTAAAAATCCGTAAAAAAAATGTCGCAAAAAGCGGGTTTTCCCGCTCCCCGCAATTTCTCATTTCCTGCCTCTAAATGGACTTCGAAAAAGTCAGATTTGACGGGAAAAGAGCTAAATTGGCAGCCCTGGCAGTAGGTAAGCAAGTATGCTTGTTTATAGATTCACTGACTGTTTGTGGAACGTTAGCGTGGCGAATTCCAAAAAGGTAGTCAGATCGCACAATGAGCTTTTAGAGTAAACGGAGTAGCGTGGCAATGCGTTCAGATATAAGGCAAAGGTGTGCCAAATTGTAAGGTGTGTGAGTATTTTAATTTCAACGACAACATTTATGAGAGCTACTTCCAATGCACATAAGCGTAAATTTTAATAAATATAAGCTTGTGGTTGCTAGTCGAGCTTACGGGTTTTCAGTTGGAATGACAGAGCTCATTGGAAATGGCAAAACAAAGGAAGGCAAAGTAAAAATATGAGCGCACGCTGCTTTTGACTTGGCACGCTGGGTGTGCCGCTTTTTAGCCACATATGTGACGCTCAGTTGCGACTTGACATTGTTGGCTTAAACGCGTAAATTAGTTTTTTGTAATACATAGCGTGACTTGTCAGAACGCGAGCTCGGTTTGAAGTCAACGTTTTCTTCTCACTTTTGCTTAGCAGCTAGCGATCTTTTTCATACTATTTTTCATTTTGAATGTGTGTAGTGGAAAAAATGCCTTTGAGCCTAGAGTGCAAACTTATGTAACGAAGAAATAAATTTTAAAATGGAATATTTTAAAAACTTTTCATAAGTACAAAATCTAAGTTGAATTTAGTTTGTCTACGTGGACGTGAACGTGAACTTAGATACTACGTTGGAAGTAAAAATCTAAAAAATACATTTGGATTTGTATGCGCGTGTTCATCGAAAACCATATACTGGTATGACGTGATCAAAATATCACTGTATGTAAGCGTGTGTAGCTAAAAAAGTAAGCGAATGCAAATGAGGATTGAGAAAGTTGTTAAAAACAACACAACGAAGTGAAATTTTATTATGAAAAATATGCATACTATAATAGATAGAAAGATCTACAAATTTAGCACAAAAAAAACAACAGCATTATAACAACTAAAAATATAAAAAATTAATAATAAACAAGTAAAGAAGTATGAGTTCGGGCGAAACTGAACTTTATATACCCGGCGCAGGTATCAAATATCGTCGTTTCAACTTTCTCTGAACTACCTTTGCATGATAGGTAGGGGTCATTCTTTACACGCTTATAAACGTTTTCGATAATATAAAGAGTTAGACTTAATGATATAATTGAACCTAGTTAGGTAAAAATCGATTAAGTGGTTAGCGAAGTACACCTTTGTAGTTATAAAGTGGGCGGTGCTACTCCCAATTCCTGAAAGCCTATAGTAGTCTTATTTATTGTTAGGAGATTGTTGTAACTATTAACTTGAAGTAAATTAGCGTCCTCAGTTATTGAAATATCGGAGTTTTCGTATTTCTGAAATTTACCGTTATACGGGAAACGGGGGTAATTTTAGTCCGATTTGAATAATTTTCAACAAATTGCTTTTCCGTACCAATGTTATAAAGTGCAACGAATTTGGTGGAAATTGATAAATCGGTTACCCAGATACACATTTGTGGTCATAAGTGGGCGGCGCCACGCCTATTATCCAAAATTTATAATATTCTAATTTTCTGCAAGTGGTTATTGCAATCAGCGATTTTTAGTGAATTAGCTCCAGTAGTTACTGATTTATCGCAGTTTTCGTGGTTCTGTAAATTATCTGTATATGGCAGGTGGGCGTGATTATTGCCCGATTTCAAAGATTTTTTCAACAGATTTCTTAGCTAGACCCTACTCAAGCCTCGTACCGAGTTTGTTAAGGATTGGTGAAGCGGCTACTGATATACAGCATTTAATCATAAGTGGGCGGGGTCACGCCCATTTTCCAAAAATTTCATAACAATGTTATTTTCTACCACAATTCTACTCCACATACTAATTTTCAACAATTTGCATCTAATATTTACTGAAATATCGCAGTTTTTGCATTTTACGAAAATACCGTTATATGGGAAGTGGGCGTGGTTACAGTCCGACTTCGCCCACTTTCAAACCCAACCTACCTTGGATAAAGGGCAACCTACATACCAAATTTCGTTGAGATATCTCAATTTTCGCTCGAGTTATCGTGTACACGGACAGACGGGACGGACGGACAGACAGACATGGCTTAATCGACTTCCCTTTTCATTCTGATCATTTATGTACACGATTGAGAGAATACAAAGGTTGCGCCGATCTCGGACCGCTATTCCTCTCTTAACGAATTTGACAGAATCGTTGTTTGCATGACGTCACACAGGTGCAACTTGTTTACGTTTTCCTTGCAACATTTTTTCTTCTTCTTCCATTCTTGCTCACATTTTGGCATTTCTCTCTCGCAATTGCACCAGTGTGACGTCACACAGAAGTTATTCTCAAAAATCCTCTCTGATCGGCGCAATCTTGTATTCTATCATTCTTGATTTATGTGTACATTTGTCCATATTTATATCGATTCGTTTTGGCTGTTACAAACAACCGTTATGCGAACAAAGTTATAATACCCTTGTACACAAGTGCGCTCTGGTATAAATATAATCAAGAATAAGAAGAAGGTGCTATAAAGTGATAAGTTGATGAGTTCCTTTTCAGAAATTTAACAGGAGAGGAAAAAAATTTCTTATCATAGTCACTTTCTTTCACTATTTCTCAAAACTTTGAAAACAACATTTTTCATCTTTAAAGCAAAATAACACGAACTCGACCGTTATTAAATGATTTCATATTATTTTGGCCTTAGCTGATTTTTGGTGCCTCTTTTCCTGTGTAAATTTTTGGCACCGCAGTACCCATTATAAATACCAATTCCGAATTTCCTCTGCACAGCATGGCTGCTTTCGAGCTTTGTATCTTTGCGAACCTGTTTTCAAACAAAATTTGTGTAGGCATATCAACCAAAAAGAAATTTTTGGTATTCATCTTCATGTGTCACATAGAAGATCTTCATACACAGACTAAGAAATTGAGACAGCTAAAATATTTTAAGAAGTTACTTTTTGGATCGTTCGTATCGACAGTCGTTCGTTGAATTATGTCGTAAATAAAAACATTAACGACAGATTTTAACACGTTTTTAATACTTCTTCATTTCGAAGGGATAATAGGAATAAAAATTTGTAATAGATTATGTCATTGGTTGCCTCATAATGCCAAAGAAAATCTCAAATTTCGACGAACAACTGTCGTTTCGACAATCGGAATAGCGAAAAATAACTGTTCCTAAAACGCATTTTTACAATTTGCAAAAGACAATCATCTCTTCGTTACCTACATTTAAACATATTTTAGTGGGATACCGAAAACTTTTAGCCATGACTGTGCTATTTGCCAATATTTTATTTGGATATTTGTTCGTTTTCTGTATAGTTATGTACTATGTACTCTAATTTTTCTAGGGCGGCTGATGTGGTGTAGTGGTTAGCAATGCGCGCTACCATTTCGCAGGGCCTGGCTTCAAGCCCTGGTCAAAGCAACATCGCCAAAAAAGGTAGAAAAAAGGTTTTTTCTTAACAGGTGTCGCCCCTCGGAAGGCAATGTATTTCTGTCATGAAAAACAGCCTCTCATAAAAATACAGTCGCCGTTCGGAGTAGCCGTAAAACTGTGGGTCCCTCATCAAAGCGCACGCCACAAATCGGAGGAGAAGCTCGGCCAAACACCAACATATGTGTACACGCCAATCTATTATAAATAATATTCTTTTTTATTTTTGCAAGAGCACGTGGGGTTCCATTCCATTATGTATGTACATTCAAAATTCACAAAATTGTTCATGATTAATTTTTGGAATTTCGCAACTACCGACTGGTGTTATGCCGTTGAAAAGGTCGAGTCTGTCTGATTTAGAAATTGCTTATCCATCGAGGAGGTGTGCTCTTTAGTCCACAAAAAAGCTGATATTTTTTATTTAATACTAGTAAGCCCGGGCAGACGTTGTCCTGCTATTTACACACAGATAAATAGGCAGGTTACATGTATCGTAGATATTATGGGTCTTCACACCAAAGCTTGGTACGCACTAGTTTACACAAGCAAAATACATTAGAACAAATTACCATCACCGAATTACCGAATACCGATCTCGGTGTGAAGAGCCATATTGTTTCTTACGTTTAATTTGATATCGAAATTTACAAAATATTGTTATTATTGTTCACTACGTTTGAAAAAAAAAACGATCTCTGGTTACGGTTCAAACATCAGCCAGGGGAATGGATAACATGGGATGGTGTCCAAGCGATACATTTTTTGTTGCTGTTGATATGCGCATGTTTATATGTATAAATACATATTACAGTATTTTCTTGCTATCATACCTATTTCTCCCCAACATTAACATATGTACATATGAAGCGTAGCCGCGAATAACATTGGAAAACTCTCGTTTCGGATATGGACAGTTTGTAGTTAGCGTAAACGAACAAAGCGAGGCGGGATTTTTAAGAACGTTGCGAGAAGTATATAAAAAATTTCGATAAAAAAAAAATACTTTTCTCGGGTTCAAAACTACCCTATCTTTTGAGTTGGAACCAACAATATACACCCACAAAATTTCATTGAAATCGGTTAAGCGGTTTCGGAGATTAGCGTAAACGAACACAGTGACACGGGATTTTTATATATTAAGATAAACACTAATTTTAGAGGGATGTGGAAGCACACAAGCACGCAGTGGCCACTATGATTGCTATTTTTCCTGAAGTAGAATGATATTAATTAAATAAAAGTTAAAAGTCCAAATTAAAAAAACTTTATTTTTTAAATCACCTGTTAACAGATTGCGTTTGAATGAAAATTTAAATTGTGTAAAAAATTCATTAACTGTACAAAAATTGGCTTAACCATGTACAAGAAATTTAGTACAGAAGTATTAAAAACGCATATTTTCTTAGAAGTACGATATGTGCATATGAAGCAAAGCAATTCTCCAACAAAAAAGAATTTAGAAAAAATGCAAAGATAGCAAAAGCAAATACATAGCACGAAATAACTCAGTTATCTACGAAAGCTTTTAAATTGCTTCGCACGCGCTCTAGCGTTAAAGAATTCATCTAAAAACTGCGAAATAGTGGCAAAATAAAAGGCAATAACTATTTTAGGTACATAAAGAGGCAAAGCAATAATTAAAATAAAAACAAAAGTGGAAATAAAGATATAAATTAAGTCAAAGCAGTCGCTAGTAACAACATATACACGTACACCAAATACCAGTCATGGCCGATAACAGCGAAAGACAACAACAACAACAACAGTCATCATCTACGCATTTCGCTGCCGTTTCACATCCCCTGGAGGATGTCGCCTTGGATGTTACGGACGATTCTGCAGCTGGCAAACAAAACTGGGTTAAATTCGATGACGATGAGGCAGCCAATAAAAATGGCAAAAGCTATAACACCAACAACATCAACGGCGGCAGCAACATTGCTAGTCATGATGGCGAGGGAAGTGGTGCCACCCGCACTAGCCCTATCACCACCAGCGTCGCCGCAACCGCTAGCAGTAACCGAGACACGCTGGCAGCAGAGGTGCCAATATCAGCGCCAACTCCGGCAAACCGGTTATCCCCCTCGGTGTTGCTGCCAGCGCCCCCAAGCAGAAAACAAACATCTGTCGCTACAGCGTCAATACCCATAACAACAGCAACAACGGCGGCAATAGCCCGACCGCGTTCTCCGCTCAACGGTTCGGAGAGTGGGAGCAGTGCCGAGGCGAGCGTAGCACCAGCACCTGTTCAGGTGAGTAATGGCCAAGCAAAGCGACGCTCTACAAATGGTGTTTATTTTTCTTTTTCAAATTCCACTTTGGAGTATTTCTCTGTGTAGTAGAGCGATGTGGAAAGCTCTAGAGAACTGTGTCGTTAATAATCGTACGATCTCACATTCTCGCTGAATTATGAATGGAGCGTGCTCTCTATAGGCGTGCGGATTATCCCCAAAAAGTGCTCTAGAAACGAAAATAGTGTTCGGGTCAAAGTAACCGGTTTAGACCAATTGTAATTGATAGATTACACAGAAAGACATTTACAGTTAATTTTAACCAAGTTTTTACTGATGCCTTCATATCGAAAAAGCCAAAAACCTGATTTTTTATAGCGGCCAATTTTTGCGAAATTTTAACTTACCTCACACGTTTTATTATCGATTGATTTGAAATTTTTACACAATAAACTAGATACTATTCTAAAGAAACTGAGCTTGACTGCAGTTTTCAAAACTTTGAGCTTGACTGCAGTTTTCAAAACTTATCAAAAACAAAATGGCGGAAATAGCTTTAACATTTGCCGTACCAAAATTTTTTTATTCGACTGTATTATCCATTAAAAATTAGCAAAAATTCATACATCCTTTTTTTCTATAGGCTAGCTATTTTCAATATTCATCGCAATCTGGATATTAATGTTGACTCGGTATTAAAATAATTTTTATCTGTACTTCTGTACATTGCATGTGACTTTTCTTTGAGTTGTGCTGAATTATAACCATAATTAAATACAATATGCTGATTACTCTAAATAAACCAATGATATTTTTTGTTTTTACGAATGACTTTACATAAAACCCCCTAAAGAGAAATCCTGCGACCGTCCCTGGTTTTTACATAGATACATATATATATATAAGTATGTCTATTAAGTTTATAATAAAGAGCTTAAATAAGTTCTATAACACTGATAAATTTATGAATTTCAACATTTTACTTAATATTGCATCCAAAATTACTTGTACAATTGCTATGTGTTATGTATTGTTATAACTTTGGAACTACTTGCTGTTTAAACCTGAAACTTTCCCAAAAACTTCCTTAGATATTTGTCCATAATGCTGCATTAAAACAACAACAAAAATTCAAACTACCTCCATAATTTTTATAAAAAAGTTTAAAGATCTGCCATTTGGTTTTTGATAAGTTTTGCACTTAAGCTCAGTTTCTTTAGAATAGTATCTAGTTTATGGTGTAAAAATTGCAAATCAATCGATAATAAAACGTCTGAGATATAGCGAGTTTAAGTTAAAATTTCGCAAAAATTGGCCGCTGAAGGCATCAGTAAAAGCTTGGTTAAAATTAACTCTAAATGTATGTTACTTTGACCCGAACACCTCTCGAGATTTTTTGGGCATAATCTGCACGCCTACTATCGCATGTTCACATCAGTTAATGGCCAATGATTGTATCTGTCATTCACTTTGTTTTCATTTATTTTTTATAAAGAATTTATTAATGTATGTATCTGCATTTTGAGGCCTGGATAAAAGATTTTCGTAAGCGCCATTCTGACGGTTTATAGCTGTAGATGCAGTTATATGTTTTAAAATAAGGTCTTTCGATTGGTGTTATCAGTTCTTGGGAATCTCATTTAGTTTCCGACTAAAATTTTATACGTAATTTAGTTAAAATTTAAGTAATAATGCAGTCACACTGAACTAATCAAGATATTTCAAATGGCATCATCAATTTTAGGATATTTCCGAGATATAGAGAAAAAATTATCGTTAATTTAGTAAAACTTGGTATCAAAATTATTGACCATTGTTTTCATAAACTCAAAAATAATTAACAATAAACAATAAAATAAATTTCGTAAGCTAGTAACATTCTCCGAGTTTTTTAGGAAGCTCTATCGTCGCGTTTCTGAGAAATTGCATTCCAAACTTCAATTGCGATTTTCGTAAACCTGCAGAAAGTAACATGCGACAATATTTTATGCAAGCAACGATTTGTCACTGAAGTATCTGTTGGTATGCATTTCTCATAACTATCCATTTATCGTTTTTATCAAATTTCGTATTTTCTTTCATCTCCAATAAGCAGACATACATATGCACATAAGTACTCATTTCATTTTGTGTGTTTTATTTTGTATGCGTGACACGAAAAAGTAATAAAAAATGCGCTGAAAGAATAAAGTAATGAAAAAGAAAATAAATGAAGAATGAATACATACTCTTCCCATGAAAAGGCTATTTTGTTATTGAGGCTTCCATATTGCAATGAGAAGGCTGATGCGTCATTCGCGTTTTTATACCATTCATGAACATGAAATAACTCCATAGATATATACTATAACTTTTGTCTGATTTTTGTAAGTACTAGAAAAAGTAAAGATAGATCCACGATAAAGAATACCAAAAGGGTCAGAAATCCGAGCTGAGTGAATTTAGCCATGTTTTTTTTTTTGTTTATTTGAACGCAATCCTCACCCTTAGTTTCCAAGATGTCCGACTGAATTTTTGTAAGCGAAAGTCTTTTTATAATGTATTAGCAGACCCGGCGAACTTCGTCCCGCCAAAAATTAATTTTTTATTGAAACATTTGGTCCAACGTTTTCGCCAGCAATTAACGTTCATGTTTGATTTTGTGAGTCGACAGAAAGCATATCCTCCATTGCCGTCTAAAACAACCTGACGAAAGCGTTATACCGGGAAGAAGTCCTTGCGGGTCGATGGTGAATCGTCCATGAATCTGTATAGTCGAGTTGGTGGCAATTTCTAAGCTGGTGAGTATCATTGGTCCACATTCTGTTTAGTCATCATAAAGCAAGGACCGCAATAGTTCTGATGGTTGATTTAACGGGGATAATTTGACTTTGATCTCTGGTGCATCCGAATTGACGATTTTTAGCAATAACTTGGCTCCAGCGCCACATTGCTAATCGTTTTGAATTGAAACTTCTTTAGCGGCGGTTGGTTGGTTGGGAGTAAATTGACAAATTCAACGGAAACTGCGCACGGAAATAGTGCAACGGAAATGATGCAACGGAAATGGTGTAACGTAAATGGTTGGGACCGAAACAAGTGCTTCTTATGTGTATGCATACGGTACTAATTTAACAAAAATTTGCTAATAAAAGGTTAAATAGTAACACTGAGAAAACAACCAATACAAGAATGAAAGTGAAGGTGACATAGATAAAGAAAAGGATAAAGGCAAAGGTAAAAATAAAAACAAAACAAGTAAGAAAGTCTAAGTTCGGGCGGAGCCGAACATTAAATACCCGGCGCAAATATTAAATATATGATTTTCACCTTTCCGAAAGCTACCGCTACATGGTAAGCCCAGGTGTATCAATTTTGAGTAAATTAGCGTCCTTAAATTTCAAAATATTGACGTTTAAAGCATTTCTAAAATTTACCGTTACATGAAAAGCCATAATTTTTGTCCGATTTCAATCATTTTCATCGTTTTGCTTTTGTGTAACAAGCACAATAAAAATACCGAGTTTGGTACAAATTGGTAGAACGGTTACCGAGATACATATATGTGATCATAAGTGGGCGGTGCCACGCCCATTTTTCAAAATTTTATTATAGACGTATTTTCTGGTAAGGAATTGTTGCAAGCATCAATTTTGAATAAATTGGCTTTAATATTTACTGATTTGTCGAAGATTTCGTATTTCTCCAAATTACCGTTATATGAGATGTGGGCGTGGTTATTGTCCGATTTTAAAACTTTTCGGCCATTTGGTATCCTGTACCAAGGCCAAGTTTGGAAGAAATCGGTGCAGCGGTTGCCAAGATATACACATGTAACCATAAGTGGGCGTGGCTACGCCCATTTTCCAAAAATTTATAACATTCTTAGTTTTCCTCTAAAAATTGTTGTAAATATACATTTTGAGTGAATAATCTTCAGTAGTTACTAAAATATCGCAATTTTCGTATTTCCGAAAATTACCGTTATATGGGATGTGGGCGTGGTTATTTTCCGATTTTTTTAATTTTCGGCCATTTAGTATGCTGTACCAAGGCCAATAACTGTGCCAAGTTTGGAAGAAATGGTGCAGCGGTTACCAAGATATACACATGTAACCATAAGTGGGCGTGGCTACGCCCATTTTCAAAAAATGTTAATATTCTTATTTTTCGTCTAAATTATTGTAAATATCAATTTTGAGTAATATCTTAGTAGTTACGAAATATCGCAGTTTTCGTATTTCTGAAAATTACCGTTATATGGGAGGTAGGCGTGGTTATTGTCCGATTTTGCCCATTTTCAATACCATCCGTCCTACGCCCGAAAGAAGTACACGTACCAAGTTTCGTTAAGATATCTTAATTTTTACTCGAGTTATCGTGTGCACAGACGGACAGACGGACGGACGGACGGACGGACAGACAGTCACCGCTTAATCGATTTCTCTTTTCGTCCTGATCATTTATGTATACATTTGTCTATATCTATCTCGATTCGTTTTGCCTGTTACAAACAACCGTTATGTGAACAAAGTTATAATACCCTTGTGCACAAGTGCGCTCGGGTATAAAAATGAAGACCATGGTAAATCTAAACACTCTACTTACATATATATAATTTTGCTATCGATATTTTCGGAACTTTTCGACATAATAATCGATACTTTTATCCATTTTGTTATCGATATTTTTTATAGATTTTGTTACCGATTTGGTTGTCGATATTTTTATCGATTTTGTTGTCGATATGTATCGATTTTGTTATCGACATTTATCGATTTTGTAATTGATATTTATCGATTTTGTTATCGATATTTATCCATTTTGTGCTGGATATTTTTATCGATTTTTTTGTGAATATTTTTATAAATCTTGTTATCGATATTTCTATCGATTTTGCTATGGATATTTTTATCGGTATATTTATCGATTTTGTTATCGATGTTTTTACCGATTTTGTTACCGATATTTATCGATTTTGTTATGGCTATTTTTATCGATTTTGTTATTGATAATTTTATCGTTTTTGTTATCGATATTCT